ATCGGAGAGTTTGCACGCGATGTATGGTGTCACTGGGTCTGTTCTTTTCCGAAGGACTTGTGGACAAGCTAGAATGAGAGAAAATATATCTGTTTCACTCCAACTTGCTGCACTAGTCCAGAAGTCCTTCGATAAGGAACAGACCTACAGCGAGGTTCGCAAGGCGGACAGGTCTGCAATTGAACACGCGGGTCGTCTTCGTCGTCCCCGGCGTCGACTTTAACGAGACCTTCTTCGGCCACCCCGTAACAGCCCGACACACTGAGAGAAAAGTATACGATATTTGGAACTGTAATGATATAGTAACTAAATTATAGTCCGAAATATCATATTTATAGTAGGTATTACCATAATATCGGTAATAAAATCGGTAATAATTACGATATAGGCATAGTATAAGCAACCGTATAATATTTTTGAGAATTATAGTAAGTTAGACTGAAATTATTATTGTGTGGATACAAATATAAAATGGTAGGTAAGGTAACTCTTTTATATCAAGTCAATATTACCAGAATATTTGCCAAATGATGACAGATGTAACTGTATACGAATATTACATCTCACTTTATCTGTGAATGAGAAATTATCATATACGTGGTAAAAGTAACTAAACTAAATTATTTCAGACCATCATTGACTATATATTTGTGTTGATTCTACTATATCATGCAGGTTCCACGAACTATGAAAATATGGTTGACGCCAAAATGAACTATACAATAAAATATAGTGAGTGACTATAGTTAATTCAACTATATTTTTCTATCAGTGCACTTCGTGGAAGGACACGCGCGCGCTCGACGTTAAACGCAGCGGCGGTGATCGAAGCCGCGACACGGCTCCGAAGCGGCGCGGTCGCGCGCTGGAAAATCGCTCGGCAGGAATCGGAACGTGGAAGCGGAAGCTCTCGCCACGGGTGGCGCAGCATCGATCGCGTTTCGCTCTCTCGCGATCACGCGAAATCGTGCGACGACGCGAACGCCGACGCGTGGGCCGACCGTTTTTCCCGCTTCTGCCGCCGCTGGGAGTCCTCCGCGCGCGCATCCTCCGCGAGCCGAGATTCAGGCGGAAGGAGATCAATGGACGGCGCGGCGCGGCGGAGATATATCTCGGTGATATATTTACACGAACGTTGAGAGATGCTCGCGCGGTGGAGAAGCCGAACGCGCGAGAGCCGAGGCCCGCAGCCTTCAATCATTGTCAATCAGTTCGGACGAGGCACCGTTATGGTGTCTTCGTGTGCTATCGTCGTCCCCATAGTCCCTCCGTCTCTCTTTCTCCCTCTCCCTTCCCTCTTCCTCTCCCTCTCTCTCTCTCTCTTTTCCGGACACGTCTGTCATTCTTTGGCAACATTCCGACGTTTCCGACGCGGTACCCGCGTCCTTCCCGCGGATATCTGCGAGGATACACCCTTTGAGGAGAAAAGTAAAAAAGGTGGAAGTAAGAGTAAGAGAGAAAGGTCGGACGTAAAGTAAAAGAAAGGGTCCTGCTCGAGTCCTCGAGATAAGTGTCACTCCTCGGCCAAGAGAATCGAACGAAGATTTCATTTCTGAGTGAAAAATTGCCCTTCATATCCCTCTCTTTTTCTCTTTTTCTTACCTCGTCTCTCCTTCGGCAGGAGACTGACAGTAATATTATTTAAGATTCTCGACTGCTTCGTCTCCTTCTTCTTCATCTCTGTCATTATTTGGAAATTTCCTAGCTTCGCGTATATATCTTGCGATCGCATCCGCCGAAGTGCACAGTCTCGGCTGTCGATCGGAAAATTCAGTTCGAGACCCGTGAAGCCCACGTCGCGAACGGGCGGACACATCGAAGTTGAAGTTGAAGTTGAAGATGAAGAAGGAGGAGGAGGAGGAGGAGAGCAAGAAGAAGCAGACATTGTCGCAGAAGACAAACCGATCGCCCGCGACGTATTTCAAGCACAGCGCTATCCAATTTAGCCGGAGCGCGCGCTCCTCTCTCGTTTTATTACGAGAGACCGGATGCGGCGCGTCGTCCACCACCTTACTTGCAAATGCGGACGCGCCCGCAGCGGGACGCGAGGGGGACGAGAGAGGACGCTGTCCTCGCGGGCGTGAGGAGCCGGCCGCGAGCGAAATAGCATCACCTTCGGCGAGATTGCCCGGCTCGGCTCGTAACCGGCGACATTGATAAGTAAGTAGGATTCAAGGGGGGATCGGGGACTGGGCTACGAGTGCGCGCAGGATGTTTGGCCCGAGCAAATAGATTTTACGAGGCCGCTCGTTCGCGAAGAATGTAACAGTTACCTCGGGCCGAAGAGAGCTGCTCGTCCTCCTCGGCGTGGCACATTTTCGCTCGCCGCGGCGGAGCGGCGATAAAGTGCGCGCGCGCGCAACGCCGACGTGAAGCAGGGAAAAAGGACGACAAGGGCGCAGGAGAACGGCGGCAAGGGCGAGTGGGGGGTGAGGAGAAGGGCGGAAAAGGTGGACGGCAGCGGCGCGGGCGAGACACGAGGCGTAAATATTCGCGAGCGCGCGCGCGCGCGTGGGCGCCGGGCCCCGCGCGGATAAAGATACTGGGCCGGCGCGAGGTGCAGGTGCGCGCGAGCGCGTTCCAAGAAGGAGAGAACGCGAGAGGGAACGTCGCGACACGTTTATTACCCCTCGCACCACCTGCGCGAGAGCGCGAGCTCTATCACGGCATCGAATTGCATCCGCCGACGCGGCCGCTTATCGCGGCCTCTCTCGGCTCGGCGGCGGCGACGCGACGCTGATACGAAAATCCTGCGGGCGCGCGCGCGCGCGAGGACTCGTATAATCCGCTCTTACTCGCGCTCGTTCCCACCGGCCGAGCCGCCCCCGGTAGGTCTCTAGGCGATTTTAACGCGCGCGCGGATATCGAGTACGCGAGAAAGAGAGAGGGAGGGAGGGGGGGGAGGGAGGGAGAGGGAAAGAGGCCGTAATCCTCGACTTTTGCCGCAGCTCGTCGCAGCTACGCAAGGTGCTTCACCTCGAGCTTCGAGGTCGCGCGTCTTGGAGCGGCGTACTTTTGCTGATACATACAGATGAGGAGGAGGAGGAGGAGGCGGAGAAAGGAGAGGATCTCGCGCGTCTGATTTTAAATTTAATCGAATCCGCTCGGTTTCAGAAACGTGGAGAAACTCTTGCCGCGACGGCGGTGTGAGACAAGTGTGAGAAAAAAAGTTGGGCAATTTCTCACCGCAACATCGTTCACCGACGCGTGCGAGACGTTTTTCGATCACGCGCACGTCGCGCGCTCGCGAAGTTAGCGGCGAAGAAAACGGCCGGAGAAAACGGGGCAGCGAGAGAGATACGGCCGCGACGACGGCCACGAGGACGGAAATCGACGTGTCCTCTATAAGATGCGGGAGATGAGCGCGAGGCTGGGAGCCCGTCGGAGCGAGTCGGCAGTCGGCGCGCGTCTATGATCGCGCGCGCGCGCGCAGGCCATTATTTCACGGGGAATTATTGCTATTACGCCACGCGAGCGCACGAGCTGGTAACCTCGTTACATCGTTACTGTGCCGCTGTGTGTAGGTGAGCGCCGTGACAACTGCTGATGCATCGCAAAACAAACGATCGATAAGGAGGCGCGAGCCGGCGGAATTACCTGCGACGCGATAACCTGAATTTTCCCCGCAACTCGGCTCGGTAACCGCTCGCAGACGACTCGAAAATACCTTCCTCGGAGGAGAATCGTCCGAGAGAAGCATTTCCCTGCGCGCTCAGCTACCTTCGCCCGACGCTGGATTTGCTCGAACACGAACGCGAGCCGGAGGTCTCGCTGGAGGAACGTCGTCGGCGAGGTTTCGCGCGCGCGCGCGCGCGCGTTTGTATTTCGGATCAATCCGCCCGCTACACCGGCCGCATTGTCATGTAAATCGCCATGGCGCCGTCCGCGCGACGTTATCTCACCGCGCAGAGACACCTCTGAGCGACAATTCCGCGCTGATGTCGACGTGTTCAATTAAATCGCCGTCAACGACGTTCAAGATGACGAGCGGTGAACTAATTCAAAGCAAGCGCGCGCGAGAGAGAGAGAGATTACGCGGGAGCGATCGCGCCTCGTCGTTAATATCCTCGTGGGTCACGACCCCCGATCGGCCGAAAGAGAGAGAGAGAGAGAGAGAGAGAGAGAGAGAGAGAGAGAGAGAGAGAGAGAGAGAGAGAGAGAGAGAGAGAGAGAGAGAGAGAGAGAGAGAGAGAGAGAGAGAGAGAGAGAGAGAGAGAGAGAGAGAGAGAGAGAAGAGGTACTCGGAGCACGTGGCTGCGTCGGAGGTTAATTTAGTCGCAGAGTGTACGGGCGCTCCCGAGAGAGAGCATTTGCGGACGCAGCCGACCGATATTTCAAGTCTACCGTGTCGATCCGTGCGACGTGTACGTTTAATTAAAAGGGAAGGCTTGAGTCGATCGCGCGCAGACGACCCTTGAAGCGGTCTAATTTTCCGTCGCTGTTGGCACGTGGCGTGCCGAGTCCGCCGGAGCGAGTCGCCGCGGAGTCGGAACTCGCCGGGGGCGGACTCGAGTGGGATTGTAAATAATGACGCGATAAATACGTTTAGGGACACCGCGCGGTTTGAGATTGCGAAACGTCTCGCATTATCGCGGCGGCCGCGCGACCCTCCCTTTCTCCCGCTTCCAATCGGAATTTCAATATTTTACACAGACGCGATAAAATCTCACACACAATCTCACGAGGGCACGCGGGGCAGCGCGTGTCGACTGACTGCCGTGGTATTTGAAAAACGTCAAAGCGGAACGCTCGGAATTTCGCAAGGAGACTCGCCAACTGCAAGCGAGAGAGAGAGAGAGAGAGAGAGAGAGAGAGAGAGAGACACGTTCAGCCGTAGAAGCGGAAAGCGCGGCGCAACGCGGCTGATTACTTTAATCGCTCCGCGAAATAATGATCCACGTAAGCGGTTCCCCCCCCCCTCTCGCCGCTCAGCCGGTAGCGCCGACACCTCTCGCGATAATACGACGCGAGCAACAATCATAGATCGTGAAGCGACTCACCGTTTCGCAGGCGACGCTCTTGACTTCCGCCAGCAGCGCAGCAGCGGGCGACAGATAAGTCCGGACGAAGTTCTCCAGGTTGCCGTGATAAGCGCACACCAGGATGTCCCGGGCTTGTCTTATCAGCAGGCTCATAACACCGTCGCCGTAAATCGGCCCGAGCAACTTGCGGACCAGGGAGGCGAAGTCACCGCGGCTCTGCAACACGGAGAAGAATAACGACTCATTGCGCGAGGCGACTCTACGACCCGTCACCACCCCGCCGCAACCCCCGACCTCTTCCTCCCTCCCCACCCCCGACCTTTGCCTCGGAGATCGTTATGAGGCTGGCCAACGGTGGTACGTTAATCACTGGCGTTTTCGACACACACGTCCGGAAGCACCGGAAGCAGTCGAGACGAGGGCTCGCGAGTCCATCCACACCGTCACGGTATCACGATCGGCGTGCCGCAAAATCTGCTACTGGCAGTTATCCCCCTCGACGTCGTCGCACGGTAAACAAGGGGGAAATGTATTGGGTTTTGCGACAAAAGCCGGCAGAAATTCTGACCGGGACGGGAGGGTGCCGCCAGCGAGCGCAGGAGAGAGAGAGAGAGAGAGAGAGAGAGAGAGAGAGGAACATCAATATCCGTGCGGAGCGCGCTCGCTTGTGCCAACATCGAGCGGGACATTGTCCGCGAAGCGCATCTGTGCGAAATCGAATCAGCTGCGCCGCGTGTTTCCGTATCCTTAATTCGCTACGCATTGTGGCTGCTGTCGGCTGAGTACGAGAGTATCGATGGCCCCCTCAGAGACACCGCGTTCCCGATCCAGTTTTATGGCAGCGCTTATGCCATGTCGAGTAACAGAAAACAATGGCGACTACTTGGTAGAGTGACGGTTCATTAAATGCTTCTGGACAAGATATTCTCTCTCGTCAAGTTACCGTATCGAAACTTTTGCACTCGCCCGACACATTAATCGAGCTCCGAGGTGTCGTCCAGGTAAGCTCGAGATTTTCCCCCCGTCTCCAGATTCCGCCGCGAAAATAGGAGCACGCATAGTCGCGGGACGAAGTCGACGTTTTCTCCGAACGCGGTGTTTCACCGCGTCGCCGCGGACTTGGAATTCCGCGAGCGGCCACGCGTCTAACCCCGGCCCCGGTCCCGGCGAAAGTCCAATTTCGGCGAGTCGTTCCGCGCATACCGCAGCGATCAAAGCGACGCGCGAAGTCCTTTGCGAAACGTCGCAAAGGTTGCGCAAATCGGCGCTATCTCCCGGCATCGCTTTCCCACCGACAGCTGGACAAGTGGCGGTGTGTCGACTCGCGCGCGTCCGATGTGGGTGCATTATATCGGGCCGCATCGCCACGTTGGAGTGCATAAACATCGGGGTTTAGCGAGAACGCGCGAGAGACGATGCGGTGTAACCATTATACGCGCGCCCGATCGCCCACGTATTTCCGCCCTCATGGTGCGTGCGATCGCCCGAGTGTCGAGAGTGCTTGCTTGCGCGCGCGCGCGCGCGCGCGGGAGAGACCTGTCTTTTCGGAGAAACATCACCGCCGAGGGTTTCACATGGGATCTGGGTGATCGAGAGCGAAACCGGATGCGGCCGCTTTTGTTTACGCCGGAGGTTCACTCGAACGAAATCTTATTTTCACCTGGACTCGCGCTCGACACGTCTCTTACTCTTACCCTGAGGAAACATCGTTGCAAATTTCACCGGAGAATTTGCGACAAAGAGATGGGGGGGAGAGAGAGAGAGAGAGAGGTGTGATGAATTTGAAAAATATTTTTTCGAGCGTCTTGAAAGCACGACTGAAGCGACAAAGGGATATCCTTTGAATAATAATAATAATAATAATAATAAACTAATGTAAAAGAAGTATCAACTCGCGACGTAAACACGTAAATAAATAAACATAATTAACGTAAATAAATAAACGTAAATAAACACACATCGCCCCGAGCGGGCGAGAGCCTCATCGAAATTCATTACGGCACATTGCGGCCGAACAATATTGTTTTCTGGGAATAATGCAAACGCAATAAATCAAGTATCGCGTTGCGCAACGTGCCCCGGCCGAGGGCGCTGTCGATAATTCTCCTTCTCCTTCAGGCAGCTCCGTCCCACGGGGTGTGCCCATCATAATAACAGGCCGACACGAGCGCTCGTCAGTACCAATATTTGGCCACCCGAAATTTATGGGAAAAGGGTAAGTCGGCAAGTTGTGCATAAAGGGCTCGTTAGGGGAGTCGCGCGCACTCGTGCGCCCCCCGCGCGCGGGGGACTTGTAGGGTTGGAAACGGACGCGCGCGCCCGGTCCTCCTCGGGTCCGCATATAAATTAACCGCGATTCACGTGCCGGCGGTTTTAATCGTCTACCTTATGGGCGCACGCGTTGTTTTATTAATGTATTTACTCGCGCGAATAGGCGCGTGTGTGATTTACCGCCGTGCATCCTGCGTACTTGAGTGCCAACACGGAGCTCTCCCTATCCCGAGGGGAAGGAACAGGCGTCTCTTCTCTCAGAGGAGGAAACAGACGACGCGCTGTGTAAAATTACATGTAAACTGTATCTAAAGTATTCTCACGTAAATATTCTCAGTATATACTTAGTATATACTTGATAACATAAATAATAATTGTTCAATATTCTATATATGAAACTCAATTCAATTTTATACATAAAAATATCTAGAGATTTTTTACGTAATAATAATAATAATAAACGGCGAAAATGAGTAATTCTGCAGATACGTTTTCATCACCCTCACAGAGGTGTTATTTTGCAATCCCCCATGTATCCCCATCGTGTCATGTTTGTTACTTTTTCCTGTCCTTTTTAGGCCAAGTTGATACTAATCCGCTTTAGACACGGCGCGTGAAAAGCCATGAAAATAAGGCTAAAAATTAATAACTTCGTTAAGCGAGATACACCTCGTCGCTCTATGCCGGACGACAGTAAAGAGGGGGGCATACACCCCCTTGTACGCACTTGATACGAGTAGTCCGACGCGACGACGAGAAAGCGTTCCGCCCGTGAAATTGCAATCGCGCCTTTGCGCCAGGATGGACCTTAATTAGTCTCTTTGTTTAACGCTCCACCTTGTACAATCGCGCCACTGTTCGCGCGCTCTCCGCGATTTGCATGTTGATCGAGCGAATCTCGTTTGGCAACCGCAAAGCCACGTTCTTCAGCGGGAGGATGTTTTACAGCCGAAACCGGGATTGAGGGACGAAGCAGTGCGCACCGGAGGATAAAATGAAAATTATGTAGAGTCTTAAGAGCGATCGAGATGAGAAGATTCAACGCGAGCAAGACCAGAGATTGTATTCTCGGCAGTTTCGTAAGCCGGAAGCGATAATCGCGCACACTGATAGAAAAATATAGTTGAATTAACTATGATCTCACTATATTTTATTGTTCATTTTGGCATGAACCATATTTTTATAGTTCGTGGAATCTGCAACATATAGTAGAATCAACACAAATATATAGTCAATGATTGTCTGAAATAATTCAGTTTAGTTACTTTTACCACATATATGGTAATTTCTCATTCACAAATATATTGAGATTTAACATTCATATACAGTTACATCTGTCATCATTTAGCAAATATTCTGGTAATACTGACTATATAAAAGAGTTACTTTACCTACCATTTTATACTTGTATCCATACGATAATTTTAGTTCAACTTACTATAATTCTTAGTAAAAATATTATATGGTTGGTTATACTATGCCTATATCGTAATTATTACCGTAATTATTATGGTAATACTTACTATAAATATGATATTTCGGACTATATAATTTAGTTACTATATCATTATAATTCCAAATATCATATACTTTCCTCTCAGTACAAGATTTGGAAGAGGTCGCGCGCGAATTGCCAAGAGAACGATTCGGCGAGTCGCGAAGGAATCGACAACGCGGCCCGAGAACGCGGCAGCGATAACAGAGGTAAGCGTATTATCACGCAGACTCCGTCGCACCGAAGCGCGACGAATCTTCCAGCGGGCGTCTGGCAGCGAACGTCACAATGAATCGTTAACGCGACAATCGATGAAATTTTAATGCAGCCGCAGCGTAATCCAGTCTGCGCGAGAGGGGCCGTTCTCCCCGCGCGAGTATTGATCAAGTCCCCCGCCGGTTCCCCGCGGTGCATTACGCGCGTCGAATTTCAAATTAACTCAGCCGCGTGTCAAATTCGTCTCACGCGCGCGCTTATAGCGCGTTTACTTGTTGTTTAGTCAGCCACCGAACTTCCCACCGTTTTATGCCGGCCACCCTCGATTATCTGCCGGAGAGACAATCCGCCGGCCAAACACACGTGTGTAAGATCACTCGCGAGGCGAAAGCGGCGGATGACGCGGAAGAACTCGCGCGATTAATATCGATCCGTGACAAAACGGCTCTCGCCGTACGATCGATCGCACGCGCCTTCGACGAACAATGACGAATGGTGATAATAACGCATGGGACAAAAAGAGAGAGAGAGAGAATACATGTCGAGAGAGAGAGAGAGAGAGAGAGAGAGAGAGAGAGAACACTCGAAGCGAGAATTTCGCGTTACGTTAAGAAGCAGCAGCGTTGTTTCGTGGCGAACGAAAGATAAGAGCGGCGCGTCACATTTTCCCGCGAAAATCCGCACGAGTACGGGACGACACTCTGTCACACACGCATTGTGCAACCGAGCTCTGTCGTCGCGGGGGACGTTACGACGACAAGAAATTATCCACGCTCCGCCACGGACGTCTCGCTTTAATTCGCGCCGCAGAATCGCCGCGTGTTTACCATATCCAGACATTCAGCGCGGGGATTAAGAAAGTAGTACACGCGCGTTACGAAATATTAACAACCGCTCGGCGTGATGGAGGGAAGGAAGAAGGGAGGGAGGGAGGGAGGGAGGGAGGGGGCAGCTCTCGGCTGTATTTTCTCCGTCCATCGACCGCCCAGGGAGAGTCGCGAGCGCGGCGCGCCGCGGCGTCCCGGTAATTACCGAAAAATGCGCGCAGGGTCGGCCGTCGTTTAATTAAATAACCGCACGATCGGGAGAGGGAGAGGGAGAGGGAGAGAGAAACCTATCGGAAGCGAAGCGGCCGCGCGCCGTTACACAATACACCAGAAGCAGCCGCGATATCCATCAATGCTGCGGCTCTCCGTTCGGAGCCACGAGATAATGCAACGGACCACCGTTGCGA